GCCTGTGGTTCTCATTTGTTCTTCACTTTTCTGAGTTTCATTACACATTGAATTTGGAGATAAGTTCCATCTGGCCTGAGAATTGCCAGGATTCCCTGAGATCCTTGTGGTGAGAATGGAAACACCCATGACTCAGTCACACCAGCAACAGATGCTCCCACTGGTTCCCTGTTCCACTTCCAGAAGCGTAGCCAAAGGAACTCGGGTGCAGCTGGGCCTGAGATCTCCAGTATCCACCGGGAAGTCCAGAGCCAGTAAGAAGAGCTTACGAACTAGGATGATAGGATAACCTGAAAGCTGCTTAGGATTTGCCTTCTGGAACTCAGGCGTCTAAGACAGATGGCGGCATTCCACTGCCCATCGTCCCTGTGACCTTCCCCTTGCTTGTGATAGATGGGCTGCCTTGCCTAAGCTGCTGAGGTTGGCAAGTGCCCAGCCTCTGAGCCCAGAACTGCTGAGTGAGGCCCAAGAGAGGGCTCCTTGGGGAGCGACCCTGGGGAACGTCAGTGTGTGCATCTGCAGATCTTAGATGGGAGGGACCCAAGGGCTTTGGGGTTGCTCTCTGTGAGACCCCCTCACCCCGCAAGAAAAAAAAAAATACATCATACACAAGGCTCTGGCTTCTGATGGCTTTCTGCCCAGGGCCAGACTGGGCACCTGCCTGTGCAGAACACTCTTGTCTCCTGGCCTTGGAAGCCAGCCCTCAGGACTCCCCCACTGCCAGACATCTCAACTCCTTCCTGGAGCCTGTTGACATCAGCTATGGCCATCTACAGCATGGGACTCAGCACCCTATCAAAGCCTGCTCCCCGTGTCCTACTAAAAAAAACACATTTCCATTCACCCTTCAGCCTTCGCAGGACCTGCTTTCCAGCCCCTACAGAGCAGTTGCTGGATTCCACCCCTCACCTCTCAGGGTTTCATAGCCAAGGCTTCCCTTCTGGAGTTCCAGGTTCACTCGTTTATTACACACACACACGGCACATTGCGTGTCTGGCTGTTTCAGGTACTAATGGGACAGTCGTCCTGGCACATGTGTTGCACCTAGTAGAAGAGAATAAGTGTGGTTGGGTGTAGCACACACCTGTAATCCCACCATTCTGGGAGGCTGAAGTAGGAGCATCGCAAGCTGGAGGCCAGCCTGGCTAACTCAGCAAGACCCTGTCTCAAAAAACAAAAGGGCTGGGATTGTAGCTCAATGGCAGAGCATCCATGGCTTCAATCCCTGGTACCCAAAATAAATAGGACCAGGGGTGTAACTCACTGGTGGAGCACGTGCCTGGCCTGTGGAGACCCGGGGATCCACCCCCCACACCGTGCTGCAAAAGAAAGGGGGGTGAATGCTGTAGATTAAGGGGCTGGGGGCTGTGACACTGGCTTTCCTCTCCTGGACCTGGATATGCTTCTCTGCCAAGCCTCTGCCCTTGGTCGCGGGCGGGCACTGTGTGCCACTTGGGTGCAGGGCTGGGACGATGCAGGGAGAGGCCAGAGGCAGGTGCAAATGATGAGGGCATGTGGGGAGCTTGTCTCCCTTACCCCAGGATGGGGCAGGCATTTTGGGCCCAGGTAAAGGAAACACCCAGGTGGCCTAATGGGTGGATCACCTTCTGTGATGCCCAACTAGGGGAGGGACGTGTTGCAGGAGAGCCCCACTGGAAAGGCCTGGACTTGGGGCCCTGTGGTCCCCAGTGAGAGATACACTGTCCCCCCAGAGGCTGGGGAGGGGAGAGCCAGCCACCCCGCAGGGAAGTGAAGACCTGATGTTGGGAGGGGCCCTGGAGGAAGGGTTCTCAGGAAGAATGGGGCCAGGGCCTTGGATGCTTCCATATGCTTTCTCCTGCTCCCTCTGCTGTGGCTTGAGTATGACCCAAGGGAACATGGGATTGGTCCCCAGGGTAGTGTGTGGGAGATGGTGGGAGCTGGAAGGGGTGGGCTAGTTTGGGAATGCTGCCCTGTGGTGGGGAATTGGTGTAACTGGTGGCCCCTGTTAGCTTTCCTGAGTGGGCTGTTACAAAGCAAGGCTACCCACACACTTGGCCTCTTCTGTAGGAGGCCTCTTCCCTTCTCTCTCAACCATGTTGCCACCAAACCAAGGGGGCCCTCACCAGAGGCCAAACAGATGGGGCCACCTGAGTGACTTTCAAACTCTAAACCTGTGAGCTAAAGAAACCCCCTTATTCTGTCATGTACCAGCCATAGGTACTGTTTTATTTTTGTGCTAGTAGGGATTGAACCCATGGGCATCTACCATGCAGCTACATCCTCAGCCTTTTTTATTTTGGTACCAGGGATTGAACCCAGGGGCACTTGACCACTGAGCCACATCCCCAGCCCTGTTTTGTATTTTATTTAGAGATGGGGTCTCACTGGGTTAAAAGCAAGCTCCTCACCTTTTGCTGAGGCTGGCTTTGAACTTGCGATCCTCCTGTTTTAGCCTTCCAAACCGCTGGGATTACAAGCGTGTTCCACCATGCCTGGCTGCCCTTTTTATTTTTTATTTTGAGACAGGGTCTCACTAAGTTGCCCAGGCTGGTCTCAAACTTGCAATCCTCCTGCCTCAGTCTTCCAAGTGGCTGGGATTACAGATGCGCACCACCATGCCTGGCAGGTGTGTGACAGTAATGAAAAATGGACTGGGACACCTTCATAGTACAGGGAGGTGGAGGGGTCCCTCCTTGCTGGGTACATACCGACATCCACTCTCAGGGCCACCCTGGCCCCTCCAGGTGCAGTGAAGGCCTGTGGTCCTAGCCAGCCCCTCTTCACGTCCCCCGAGCGTGTCCTGATTTCAGTTGTCACTCCCGCCTTCTCATGCGCCACTCTACTGCCTGGCCCTGTATTCAGCAGCCTCTCCCCTCATCCTTCCATTCATTCAGTAACAAAAGGAAGCAAACAGAACTCTCAGCACCAGAGATCATCATGTTCCCTGTGTCCACTTCCCATCCTGTCTCTCTACCACAGAAATGTCCCCGTCACCCCTGTGCACAGGTCAGAACTCCTGTGTGTGTGTGTCCATCCAAACTCCACTGCTACAGCCTGAGGTGGTGTTAGTGGCCTGGCAGGGCAGGGCCAGCACCCACTCCGAGGGACCCTGCTGGCCACAGAGCTTAGCCCGATGGATGTGGGAAGTGGAGCTAGAGGAGGACCCACAGCCATTGCCCTCCCTGGTGAGCCTCTGGTGGGTACCTGGGTGCTGGAGGCTCGAGGTGAGAGCGAGGAAGTGGACCAGGTAGCATGTGGCCTGGGTCCTGGCTGTGACCAGGGCCTCCCAAGTTCCCTCCCTCTGGTGCCTGAACTGGCACTTCAGCCAAGTCTGTCACTTGCAGTCACAGGGCCTGGCTGCTCGAATCTCCTGCCACAGCATGAAGGAGAGCACAGGACACGAGAGCTGTGGCCTGAAGGGTCGCAGTTCTGGCCCCAGCACCAGCTGGTGGCGTGACCTGGGATGGGGCCTCTCCTCCGCTGTTGACCCCGCTGCCATGCAGGATGTGGGCACCAGCCCTGGAGGCTGCTGAAAGGCGAAGGCCTGCTGTCACGGCCCAGCTGCTGTCTCGTCACCAGCACCCCCAGTGCAGGCAAAGCCGGGAGGGCATGGCTTATGTGGGATGAGGGGTCACAGTTTCCCTCATATCATGAGAAATGACTCACTGAAGGCCAGGCCAGCGTGGGCTTCACACAGGGATTCTGCTCCTTCATTCTGAAGGCCGAAGAGATCAGAGGGAAAAGGCAGAGAGGTCAGCGTGTGCCAAGCTAGAGTGGTGCGGGAGCAGGGCCTGGCCCCCAGCCCTGGAGAGACAGGCACCGTCCAGGCTTCAGACTCCAAGTTCCCCCAAAACCGCCATGGGGTGGGGGTGACCTCTTTGCCTGAACCCTGGGCGGGGCCTGAGTTCCTCACGGCCTGTCTCCTGCTCTCTGCCCCTTCAGGCTCTAAGCCCCACCCCAACCCCTGGTCCCAGAGACAGCTGCCCAGCAATGCCCTTCCTTAAGGGCCTCTGTCCACACCCACCTGCTCCTTTGTCCCCATGGCCCACTTGTTTCTCGATTTCCCATGGGGTCTTCAAAGCACAAATCAGGTCCTGTCACTTCTCTGGGTGAAATCTGCCATGCTGTTGGATGCCACACAGCTGTGTACCACTGCCTGTGACATGTGTGATGGAGAAACCCAGGACAGTGCACTGAACATAGGGCCCTGGCTGGCCTTCCACACGCCCAGGGCCAGTCTCCCCTGCACCCCCAGGTACCCTGTCCCCACTTGAGTAGGAAGAGAGCAGGGTCAGGAGTCAGGGGTCACAGGATGGGCTGCAGGCACACGGACCGCAAGCAGCTTTCTCAGAAGCCCCAGGCACCAACTGGAAGTTCCCCTCACTGGCTGGTCAGGGACATGCAGCCACTCAAGCTTCATGAGAGGTGGGGAGATTTTCATCTGGACACTGAAGCCCCAAACATTGGGCAAGCTCCACAGGCTGGTGCTGGGCACTAAGGTGTCTTTAGGGCACAGGAGAGCTGGGCCCTCCCCTATAGTGTTGGGGGCTCAGCTTGTTGGTTCAGCCTTGGAAGGAAGGGCCTCCAGGGCTGGCTGGGTCACAGCAGGCAGAAGCTAACTTTAGCTGACCTTCCAGGAAGCCCTCCAGGCGCTTGGGCTGGGCTAGGTCCCACCATGCACTAGTTGCCAGGGTTAATGTGAGCAATGGCTCCACTGAGACATCCCTCTTCTAGGCACGCCCCTGCCCTTCCCTGCTGGCAGTGTCCCCACCACAGGCCTCCCTTAGCTAGGAAAACATCCCAGTGCACTTGCTACTGAGACTGCCTCGAAGCCGTGGCTTTAACTCGAGCTTCACACTTTGCAGGGGAGGAAACAGGTGCTCACGTGAAATCTTAACCTGCCCCAGGTCACGTTGCCAGGGCTGCTGTCAGGAGCGGGGGCACCCAGACCACTGAGCCCCACCCGCAGGGAGATCCAGAGGACAAAGCCCCTCCCACAGTCCACAAAAGTCCCTCACTTACAAAACCATCAGCACTTTATTCCCTTGGTTTCTATACAATAACACGAGGCTGTACCGAGCTGGGGTCCTCACCGAGCAGTCTGCCTCCTTTGGGGAGTTAACATTCCTCAGAGTGAAGGGACCCGCACTGGCCTTGCCTTAACCCACTAACAAGCCCTTCTGTCCCTCACAGGGACACCAGGCACTCAGGAGACTGGCTGGCGGGTACCATTTGCTGGGAGTAGACATGGAACTTCCACTCCACTTGCCAAGCTTCCCAGCCTCTGGAAGGGATCCCATGCCACTCTCTGGCCAAGCCTCTACATACTCTGGGGAATCCTGGATGGTGGTAGTGACCCATAAACCCAGATATCAACTGACCTCTGCCCCCATTCGCAGACAGGAAGCCTGAGGTCTCAGTGAAAGGACTTCTGGTTACAGCTACATCTTTTTTTGTTTTGAGACAGGGCCTTACTAAATTGCTGAGGGTTGGCTCAAACTTGAGATCCTCCTGCCTCAGCTTCCTGAGGCACTGGGATTAAAGTTGTGTGCCACATGCCGAGCTGCTGTACCAACTTAACTGTTGAGACTTCCCACTGCCTCTTTCCCCAACCGGTTCTTCCGCTGACAAGGAGACTCCAGACTTCCTGCCAAGGTCCCAGGTCACCCTACAGTAGGAAGGGCAGTTGCTAGGGTACTCTGAGCTGTCATATGGAAAGGCTGGCACAATGGTAGAGCACCTGGTTGTGCCATGCCAAAAGCTCCAAGCCACCACCTGTCCCAATACAGAGGAGGTCAAATCTTCCCTGGGCGGCCTGTCAATCAGAGATCCCGCAGGTAACCTGCAGGGCAAGAGCAGGAAGAGCGGATCTGGGAGCAGGGCTGGAGTGTTGGTAGGGTTTTGGAGTAAGTTCCAGGTCCAGACACCAACTCGGGCAGTCCTGGTGCTAGACGGCTCGGGCAACATCTCTGACCTTCCTGGCTGACACATGTGGATAAGAGGGTCCCATCTCAGCTGAGAAGACCGAGGCCGGAGGAGTGATTCACGGTTCAGGTCAAGCTGATGAGGGAACTGAACCCGGGTCTGATGGAGTGCTGGCCCAGGCTTGAGACCGGCCCTTAGTCTTCATGCCCCTTAGTCACCCTGACAACGTTGTTTTCTGGCACTCTGGTCTGGGGTGATGGCTTCTCAACCTTACATTGCAAGGGGCGGCCTGATGTCTGTGGGGTTTCTGCAGAGTGGCCTGGCCCGAGGGCGGGAGGGGCATCACAGGCTGGAGGGCTGGGCCAGGGCAGGCCCTGCGGGGGCAGCTGGCGCGGCCTCACCCTCAGGCCGGGCCTCCTCTCCTCTGGCGTAGCTGAGAACCACGGTGACTGTGGCGAAGGTGGCGGCGTTGACGGGGAAGGCGCGCAGCAGCGTGGAGGCCAGCCCTCGCGTGAAGACGCGCCAGCCCTCAGCCTGGTAGCTCTGGCGCACGCAGTCGAGGATCCCGCTGTAGCGCGGGGCGCCCCGCAGCCCATCGGCCTGCAGCCGCGACTTGACCACGTCCACCGGGTAGGTGGACAGCCAGGACATGATGCCTGACGTTCCGCCGGCCAGCAGCAGCTTGGGCACGAGCAGGCGGTCGCCGGGCTCGCAGCCTAGCATGCGCGTGAGCACGTCGTAGGTGAGGAAGTACACGCCGAAGCTGGGCGTCTCCCGCAGCAGCGTGGACGCCATGCCCCGGTTGATGCCGCGCACGCCCTCGCGCTGGTAGATCTGCGCCAGGCAGTCCAGCGAGCCCTTGTAGGTACGGGCTGGACCGGCGTCCTGCAGCTGCAGCCGAGTCTTAGCCAGCTCCATGGGGCAGCAGATGACGCACTGGATGGCGCCCGCAGCCGCGCCAGCCAGGAACTGGTTCGGCGGTGAGTCCTGGCCCAGGGCCCGGAGAGTATTGCCTTGCACCCCGAACACGAGCGCGTTGATGAAGGTGAGCCCCATGAGCGGCGAGCCCAGGCCCTTGTAAAGGCCCAGCACCTGTGGAGACAGAGACACATGCCATCAAGGCGAGCAGTGCTGTTGTGCCTGCCTGGGGACCAGGGGCTGCCCAGCCTATCTCCGCAGACTCTCCACACAGCCGGTGGCAGTCTAGCCCACCCAGGTTCATGAGGACCAGCAGAATTATTGTTATTGTTAACTGTTTTTTTGTGGGTACTGGGGATTGACACTCAACCACTGAGCCACATCCCCAGCCCTTTTTATTTTGAGACAGGGCTAAGTTGCTTTGAACTTGAGATGACCCTGCTCCAGGCTCCAGAGCTGCTGGGACCACATGACCACTGTAGCGTTTTTTTCCTTTTCTCGAGACAGGGTACCACTATGTTGCCCAGGCTGGTCTCAACGGATCCTGCCTCAGCCTCCAGGGTAGCTGAACATGACTGGGACTACAGGTGTGCACCACCACACCCGGCTCCAAGCAGAATTTTATTTGAAGCAAAGTCCTCAACCTAACATGATTTTATATTTCCAAAGTCTTCATGCCCCTTAGTCACCCTGGTGTTGTTTTCTGGCACTCTGGTCTGGGGTGGTGGCTTCTCAACCGTACATTACAACTGCCCTGGCCACTCACACTCTCCTGCTTGATGATGGTCTGGAAACAGTGTAGGGTCCCTCGGTACTGGGGCTTCTCCACACTCTGCACCTGGAGTCGTACCTGAAAGGACAGAGTCCGGTAAGAGGCAGGCAAGCAGGGGACCAGAGCACCTAGTCCCCTGGCTCAGTGCTCACAATTGCCCAGGGAGGCCTCCCAAGGCGGCCCAACACAGGGCGCAGGAACTAGTAGCCTTCTGTAGCTTTGGAGATTCTAAGGCAGGGCAGAGCCAGGTGTTCACGCCTCTTCAAGGGAGGATACCGCTACAGGGACAGCTAGCTGTAGGTGGGACAGGAGGTCCCCAAGACCTCCAACTGAGACAAGCCCCTTGTTTTTTGCCACTATTGCACAGTATGCTAGAGTGGGACATGAACTGTCTCCCGGGACCAACCTATTGTCCAGGTGACACCTGTCATCCCAAACCATGGCCAAGGCCAAAGGAGTTCCCAACCTCATGACCCGTAGCTGGCTCTCCTCCCTGGCGGGCCTCAGGGCAATGGGCATGGGCTGCACTATTGCTTGGGTCCTGTCAGTAGCCCCTTGTGAGAACTGTGGTCACAAGTTAATAGTAGTGACAGGAAAACAGCTGAGAGCCTCCTTGGGGACCCATGGCAGCAATTCTGGGGCCTGTCTCCTCCGGTCAAAGCAGTCTTTGTCAAGAGCTTATCTCTGCTCATTCACAGGCTCTACCCGGCACAGGGGGAGGGGCGTTTCCTGAACTTGGAATCCGCGTCACGGGGCTGGGAAAACTAGGTCACATCATACTCTCAGGAGTGGGTTCCCTAGATCTGACTCGGAAATAGTCCTTATCACAGCCAGGGCTTGGGGAGCAGGTGCGTCACACCCATTATCCCTGGGCACTGCCAGGGGTCCCAATTCCAAGACGGGAAGACGGAGGCTCAGCAATGTTCTGAAACATGGCCACGGCTGTCCTCTCCAAGGACGCAAGCAGTGCTGGGGAGGGTGAGGGCAGGTCAGCGGTGCAGCAGGGGAGCACCCTCCCAGGGAAAGCCAGGCTTCCTCGGAAGCCTTTCCACTCTCCACCACAACAGGTGGGTCTCCCCACTGGTCAGTGCACCACAGAGAGTCCTGTTAGGAAACACTGTACCACCTCTGCACACAGGTCCCCAGTGGCCGGAGCAGCTGGCAGTGGCGTGCCCCTGGCGCCGACTCGCCCCAGCACCCTTCCTACCCTGATGCCCAGCCCTCTGCCAGGACTTGGCAGGGAGGGGAGCAATTTTCAGAGCAGAAAAGCAAAACCCCTCCTTGAATTCTAACCCATACTAACACCAGGCACTGCAGCTCGGCTGGGGCCCTGCGAGGCGAGTGTCTTTCCCTTCAGTGTTCTGGGTCTCCAGGGCACCTCTGCTTCTCCTGAAGCCCTCGACACTGGCACTGCGGGCTCTCAGCAGAACTGATGTGAAGCAGCACTGTCCCTTCCTTGGGTCAGCCTCACTGACATCTGGGCTGTCTTTAAGTATCTGCAGGACACAGGCACCATTGAGTGCCCAGGCCCAGCAGCTGGGATGTCAAGCTTAGGTCAACCCAGCTCTTGGTGTTGACCTGGGTCTGGAAGAAGCCCTCACTGTTTGGGAGTGAAATCTGGCCCAAGTCCGAGAATACCTAGAGCTGAGGCTCTTCACGTCTTGGGATGACAGGAGCTCCTCTGAGGATTGAAGGAAGTGGCAGAGCCACCCTGGGAAAGTGGGCATTTGCACTCAAGTCCAAGAGGCTCCCAGCTCCCCCAGGCCTGGGAGACCCCCCCCCCACAAGAGCCCCCGATTCAGAGGGGGCTGATTTTTCTCCACCAGCCCCACCCGAGCCCCCAGCCCAGGACCTGTGCTGGGCCCAACTTGCCTCATGCCCTTCCTGCCCCTGCCAGGCCTGGGGAACTCTGGGGGTGGGGTGCGGACACAGGCCTGGGTGGGCGACGAGGAGGACCGCCTGGTCTGTACTCACTAGCACTCCGGGTGAAGCTTCCACTCATCTGCAACAAAGTTACTTTGCTACTTTCAGATGGCCCCTAGCTCAGACAGCAAAGGCATTAAAGAACACAAAATGTCAACATCACATCCAGGTGCGGAGCCCCTCAGCCAGCCTCCCACCACCCCTCCCCTGCCCTGGGGTGGCCATCACTACTTTGGGGACAGTGTCTCTGCTTACTGTCATGTCCGATGCAGTAAGGCAGAAAACTACCTTTGCACAAAACTGTGTGGGAAGGGTCATGCCTGAGGACTGGCTGTGGTTCTGGGTGTGACAGAGAATAACTGAACCTGGGCCCAGGAACCTGGAGGAATGAAGTGTGAATTTCCCAGGGATGGGTCAGTGTGGGCCAACAGGGAGCTCAGTAGTCTCCCTCACGTGTTCCCAAGCAAGGCTCCAGCTATATGAAAGGGGCCTGTGACATCGGGAGTTAGAGTAGTGGATCCTGTAGGTGATAGGAGCAGAGGTCCAGGGGCCTCCAGGGGCCTCCAGGGACTGGCCATGTGCTATTGCTGGGTGGTGGCCACTCGGGCCAGTTAAAAAGGCACCCGGAGCAGCAGTGAGCAGGAGCCCGCTGCCAAGGGACTGCCGAGGGCTGCCGAGGGGCTGCACCACTGCTGCTTTTCAGAGCAGCCTCGGGGCAGTGGGGAGGGCAGTACAGAATGGGCGCTCTCTGTACCTGATGTAGGGTTAGGGTTAAAGTTGTTTTTGCAAAGTATGTTACTTTTGTAATAGAAAGCTAAACTGAGTGTACGCACCTGATGATTAAAACACATTTTAAAAATATCACATGCCCTCAGGGCCAGGGCCAGGGCCAGGCCCTGACTACAGTGTGCGTAAAACCAGCCTGGCTGGTTTCCCAATTTTCTTTTAATGAGAGTGCTTAACTTCCACACTGGAAAGCTGCAAAAGCCCACTACAGGGAGCCAGAGATGCGGACCCTGGATAGGCCCAGCACAGCAGCAAGTGGTCATGGCGGGACTAGAGGGCACAGGATGATCCCTGAGGACAGGCTGGCTCCCCAACATAATAAAAAGCTCAGCTTTTAAAGGTAGTTTGGCCCAAATGTGATGCCATGGGCCACAGTGGCAAAAAGAAAAAGAAAAAAAGGTGCAAATGATTTTCTCATTGGCCATCCTCTGTTCCAGGGAGGGGTGGTGACAGTACAGAGACTCCTGCGTGTGAGAGGTACAGGGTCTCCCTGGGCTCAGCAACTCAGAATACCTAGGAGGCTCCCAAGCCTGACAGGGACCACCTGGGATGAGTGGGAGCCTGCAGATTCTCTGGCCAGACCCAGCCAAGTCAGCGCTTCCAGGCCTGGCCTCTGTGACACAGGCTGAGAAGAGGCCAAGGTACTGGTTGGCTGGACACAGCAAGAGGCACTGGAGACACATGACCATAAGATACAAACACAGTGTAACATGGACACTGCCAGGCTGTCCTGGGCTGCTCTGGCCTATGGGCAGCTCCGTGGCACGGGCATGGCAGTGGCCTCACTCACAGCAGGCCAATGCAGGAGACTCGGGGCTCCTGCTTACCAAGAAAGCCTGGCCCTCTAGCCTTCTCCCCAGATTTGCCTACAACAGGTGGAGGTCTGGGCTTTTCAGAGCTTGCATTTAATCCCACACAAACCATCCTGACAAGCACTGGACAGCATGAGTCTGGCCCCTAATGATCTCATCCAACCCCTCGCTTTGCATAGGGGAACATCTGGGTCTCGGGGAAGTGACTACCCCAAGGTCAGGGGGCAAATGGGCTGGCAGGGGAGGCCTGGACCAGGGACAGAACTTTTTAAGGTCAAAGCCAGTACATAAAGCCAGGCTCTCCTGCCGGCACTGGAAGAAATGCCAGCCTGAAATTAACAAGTTATTTCCTTTGCCAACAAACACCTGGTTCACTGAAAAAATGGAACCAGGAAGTCCACCCATCCCAGCTCAGGATGACGTGTCTTGCCTCCAACTCTGCCTTCCCATTGGGAAAGACCGAGTTCAGTGTTTGCAGCAAGTGTAGAAGGTGCGAACAGCATTCTGCCGCTGCAGCCTGCCTGGGCCCCTGGGAAGACGGCAGGGGAGGGTGCTGACTAGGGTCAGCATGAGAACACAAATCCCCACCCGCAGGGCAAAAACTGGTGAAGTTCCGGGAGGACATGGGTTTGCTTGGTTTCTGTCCTGGTGTCTGAGAACCGGAACTCCAGGTTGATCCAGGCATGGGGCCCAGCTCAAGGGAGTGCCTGCCCCAGGCCCATTCCCAGAGCAAGCCGCACATGGGATATACCTTAGGTTTTTGGCCACAGACACTGCACAGGTGAACACGAGCGCTGGAAACAGTCCCTTAGTTCTGATTCAGTTTCTCAAGTAGGAACATCACTGCTCTGTGAAGATCATGTTCACTGGAAAGCTGACAGGCTTGACTTCTCAGTATTTCTACATGTTCTCCCTCGACTCTTCTTTTGCAGTACTGGGGACTGAACCCAGGGCCACGTGCATGTTCTGGAAGCACTCTGTCACTGAGCTACAGACCGACTTCTTTTTGGGGGGGATGGGGGGATAGGGTCTTTCGAAGTTGCCGAGGCTGTCCTGGAACTCATGATCCTCCTGCCTCAGCCTCCCAGGTCATTAGGATCATAGGCTGGCTCCACCGCACCTCCTTCAACTTTTCTTTCAGGAAAATATCTGAATTCATTCTGAGTGAGAAGAAAACTGCCCTTCAGCAATCTCAGCTGGCCACGCCCAAGAATGAACTTGGCCATGAACTCAACTTGTGGTTCAGCCCCAGCTGGGAAATGGAAGAAGAGCCCAGAAGGAAGTCGGCTAGGTGGGTGGGAAGCAGCTGCCCTCCCAGGTGTCTGGAGAACTTGCCTGCTATCTTCTTCTAAAGCCCCTGGGATGCCCTCAGATTCGTTCCTGAGGTTGTAACGCTGCAGCCTCTTTCCAACATCTGTGCCTCCATGAGGGCCTGAGAACCAAGAGTGACAGAGACTCACCTTGACGGTGTCAAATGGGTGTCCCACAAGCACGCCTGCCACACCTGGAAGAAGAAACGTGTACTTGTGAGCAAATGCCCCAGAACCTTGGGGAGGGGGTCTGGCAAGGAGAACTGGGCAGTAGCTGCTGGGAGGAAGGGGACACTGACTGTGTGCCCGTGGGGCTCCAGGCACACCCTGTGAGCTCCTGCCATCCTGTCTGGTGGTGTGTGTGGGGTGGGGTTCCCAAGGCCAAACCTGCATCTTCCAGCTGGAGGCTAGAGTCCCTTTCCTTGCCCCACACTGCAGTTGAGGGGTCTGGGCAGCAGACCAGAGCTGCCCTGAGGCTACCCACGGTGTTTCTAGGATGTCCACTGCCCTATATACCTCTGGCTTGGGCAGCTCACTCCAGGGATGCTGGAATTTGGGGTCAGCCTGTGACCCAGACTTGAACTTTCCCTCTGCTACTTAGCAGGCACATCCACCAAGGACTCAGTGTCTGGGCCTCACTCTCCTCACCTGAGCAGGTGATGAGCATGTGTCTCCCTGAGGGCCATCACAGAGATTAAGTGATCAAACAGGGGGACAGGCCCCGGAACTGTCTGCAGTGAAGTAGGTGTAACTGACACCTCTGCTCTTTCCCTGAGTGGGAGCCACCTCAAGCCTAGGGAGGCATCTTGTGACTTTGTGGTCATGCTTGGTTACATATTAGTTCAGGGCCTGCCAAAAATTCAGCCCCACTATAAGGATAAAGTTCACCCCTCCAACACGGCTCAGAAACACTGCTCCAGTCCAAATCTCAACATCACTCCTGAATCTCAACATGACTACCGCAACAGCCTGGTTACCCCATTTCACAGGAGAAACTGAGGCTCGTCAAGGTCAAACAACTGATGCCAACTCTCACACTTCCCTAGAACCTTGTGTGTAAACCTGGGGCTGGGGTTGTGGCTCAGCGGTAGAGCGCTCGCCTAGCATGTGTAAGGCCCTGGGTTCAATCCTCAGCACCACATAAAAATAAATAAATAAAAGTATTGTGTCCAACTAAACTTTAAAAAAAAAAAAACCCTGCAAGAAGCCCTGAGTTCCATCTCAGCACAACAAGGTGGGGTGGGGGAAGCATGTGCTTTGTTGCTAATAGTGTATTTGTATCATTAAGAGTCAACACCAGGGGCTGGGGTTGTGGCTCAGCGGCACAGCGCTCACCTAGCACTTGTGAGGCCCTGGGTTAGATCCTCGGCACCACATATAAATAAAGTTATTGTGTGCAACTACAATTAAAAAAATAAACGGGCTGGAGCTGTGGCTCAGTGGCAGAGCGCTCGCCTAGCATGTGTGAGGCACTGGGTTTGATCCTCAGCACCACATATAAATAAATAAATAAATAAAGGATCTACATCAACAACTAAAAAAAATTTAAAAAAAATAAACAAACATCTTTAAATAAATAAATAAGAGAGTTGACACTGGCCCAGCATGATGTCACATGCCTGTAATCCCAGCAACTCAGGCAGGAGGCAGGAAGACCGCAACTTAGTGAGACCCTGTCTCAAAATAATAAATAAAAAGGGCTGAGGATGTAGCTCAGTGGTAGAGTACCCCTGGGTTCAGTACTGCCAAAAAAGGGGCTAACATTTGGTAAATAACAAACAGTAACATTCGATCTCCTAGTAACGCTTCTTAATATGTTCATATTCTAATTTTTCCACTCCCATTCCTGATAAAGGACAATTAAGCCATTTTATAGATGAAAAATCTGAGGCACAGAGAATGTTCGTGGCACAGAGCGAGTGAGTGATGAACCAGAATTCAAACCTGGACCCTCTGGCCCTGGGGCCTCCTCCCCAATGCTGACCTGCTGTCTCCAGAGAGCTGGCCATATATTGTTTTTTTTGGTAGAGGCTCTTAACCACTGAACCATGTACCCAGCCCTATTTTGTATTTTAGAGACAGGGTCTCACTGAGTTGTTTAAAGCCTTGCTAAGTTGCCGAGACTGGCTTTAAACTTGCAATCCTCCTGCCTCAGCCTCCTGAGCTGCTGGGATTATGGGTGTGCACCACCATGCCCAGCAGGAGAGCTGGCCATTTTGCCAGCTGATGCCCGAAGGTTAATGGAGCCACTACATATCTACTTCTCAAAGTGTGCTTTATCTTGACATGATGTCCTCTTCTTCGGTTCCATGCTGTGGTCCTCAGGGTGCTTCTGGTACTACCCTGCCAGGCCTGCTTCCTATTTGGCCTGGTAGAGTTTTGTCCAGCTCTTAACTCTGAACCTCTTCTTGCTACTGTTTTAGATGTTTCTTATAAACAACCTGTAACTGGACCACTTCCCAACCCAATCTGAAGCCGTCTCAGATTTCATCAAAACAACTGAAAGATCCACATTATGCCATCTTATTTTATGCAAATGGTTTATTTTACTTCTTTTCCTTTTCTGAACCATTTTTGCAAGTTTGAGAAATTACTATTTATTCTGGTTTTTTAAATTTTATTTTAAGAGAGAGAGAAAAAATTTTTATTATTTTATTTTTTAGTTTTCGGTGGACACATCTTTATTTTATTTTTATGTGGTACTGAGGATTGAAACCAGCGCCATGCGCATGCCAGGCAAGTGTGCTACCGCTTGAGCCACGTCCCCAGCCCTTTAATTTTTTTATAGTAGATGGACACAATACCTTTTTATTTTTATGTGGTGCTGAGGATCAAACCCTGTGCCTCACATGTGCTAGGCAAGCACTCTACCACTGAGCTCCAGCCCTAGCCCCTGTTCTATTTTTAATGTTCTGTGCGACTGGGGATGGAACCCAGAGCCTCGCACGGCTGAACTAGTGTACTTGCACTACCACAGAGCTACATCTCCAGTCCTGTCCTGTTTATCCTCTTCCTTTTTTTAATTTCTAAGTCCAACAGAGGGTTTATTTTTACATCTAACACTTCTAATCATTACAGAGAACAAGGCAAGCACCCACCACCCCAAGGCTCTCTGTGCCCCTTTCAGCCCCACCCTGCCACCTTCCACTGACGAGAGCCTGTAAACCAGGGAGCCTCACAGTTCCCTGCATTCTCTCTCCTCCTGTTTTGGTTTCTGCTCCAATCACCTGCCGTTCTGCTAGAGCCTTTCTTGGTTACTTCTCCCAGATAAAACACACAGGGAAAATGCCCTCTGAACTCCTCTTTGTGGCCCTGGGGATGGAACCGGGGCCTTGCCAGGCTAGGCAAGTGCTCTACCACTGAGCTCCAGCTCCAGCCCCTCTGAATTCTTGCTCATTTGCAAGATACATTTCTTGACACTATGCTCTGGTGAAGACTTCTGGGTGCAGGCAGTAAGGGTTCCCTTCACCTTCAGGCCTTCAGTGCTGTAGGTGAGAGATCTGTTGCCAGTGTGTTTCTTTGTCACAAACTATTTACCTCTGCAATCATTTTTTAAAATGTTTTTTTTAGTTACCAATGGACTTTTATTTTATTTATTTATTTGTGGTGCTGAGAATCAAACCCAAGGCCTCATGTGCTAGCCAAATACTCTACCACTGAGCCCACCTCTGCAATCTTCTCTGCATATCAGGGGAATGTCAGCAGGCGATGCCAAGGCTGAGTCTCCTTTAGAACCCATCTGGAACTCCACCCACCCTTTCACTATAGATTTTCCCCACGCAGGGAAAATCTCCACTATTATTTATCTATCATGTCCATCATTTCCAGACCTGCTCCTTTCCTCCTTCTGGAGCCCCCAACATTCCACCAAACTCTTCCCGCCTGACTTTCATCTGTTTCTGGTCCTTCGGGCATTCTTTTTTCTTCTGTGAGATCTGCCCCCCCCCCCTCCGCCCCCAGTACTGAGGATGGAATCCAGGCCCTCATCCAGGTTAGGCAAAGGCTCTAGCGCTGGGCCACATCCCCAGCCCCCTGCTTTTTTTTTTTCTTTCATTTTTTATTTTAAGACAGGATCATGCTAAGTTGCCCAGGCTGGCCTCGAACTTGCAATCCTTCTGCCTCTGCCTCCCAAATAGTTGAGATGACGGTGAGGGCCCCACCCCAGCTAGAGCCACTCTCTTTTTCACTTCATGCTCTGAATCTCTGTTTTGGGGGGATTGCTTTTTTACTGTATTTACTTGTTTATTTTTTGGATGCTGATCTATCCCAGGTCTGCACACATGCTAAGCAAGTTCTCTATCACTGAGCTACAATCCCAGCCCCTGCTGTGAATTTTCAGAATTTATAAATCCTAGTACCAGAAGCTGTTCACGTGGGCTGTACCTGGAAACCTAGTCTCCTGTAGGTGCCACTTGACCTTCCTGTCCCTCTAGCTGGACCCAGCAGTGGGGTTCCTTTCCTGTGGGTAGCTGGTCATGCCTCTGACCCCAGACTTACCCAGATGCCAGCAACAGCCTTAGTCACCTCTGGGATGGGGTGAAGAGGGCAGGTTGCTACCTCTGATGAGAGGCCCTAGCTCTAAGCACTGGCACCCCATTCCTACTTTCTCCTCTTACCTGCCTGCATGTCCTTAGTTGTGAGGGCTGGACCTCTCACCAGAACCTCCCCCAATGGGAAGAGCGTGGAAGGTGGGGTCTGTCTCCAACAGGGTCTCGGGTCTTACCCTTTTCACCTCACAGTCCCCTTGAGAGCCAGGAAGCCCTGCCTCACCACTTCCCTTGACAGCCCCCCCAGAAAAAGTGAACCCAGTCTCCCAATTCCAAAGCCTTGGCCCACTGCCCTACATGAAAAGCTGGCTTAGCTGGGGGTGGGAGTGGTCCACGCCTGTAATCCCAGTATCTTGGAGGCTGAGGCAGGAGGATTACAAGTTCAAAGCCAGCTTCAGCAACTCAGTGAGTCCCCCCCAAGCAACTTAGAGAAACCCTGTCTCAAAAGTTTAAAAGAAGGGCTGGGATTGTGGCTCACTGGTAGAGCACCTGCCCAGCAGATGTGAGAGGCAATGGGTTCCATTCTCAGCACCATATATAAGTAAATGAATGAAATAAAGGTCCATCAACAACTAAAAAATATATTTTTAAAAAAGTTTAAAATAAATAAATCCAAAAAACGGTGGGGTGGCTGAGAATGTAGTTCAGTGTTGAAGTGCCCCTGGGTTTAATCCCATGTATCCCCCCAACAGCAAAAAAAAAAAAAAAAAAAAAAAAGCTGTCTCTCAGGAACAACCCCCACTCCATGTTCCTCCAGGGGAGGAGAGAGACCCCTGTCCCTCTGGCACCTGGTGGTGGGACGAGGCATCAGAATGACAGATCAGTGTTCCTCGTGTAATTGAGTACTTCTCTGTGCCTCCTCCTGCCCATGCCCCATCCCTACTGCCCATCTGGGGCAGATCCCCTCTCTGGGGAAGGGAGACAGTCTCACCCTTGCACTATGCAGGGCCCTAGGAACCTGCCAATCAAAGTGCCTACTCTGCCTCTCCTGGCCCATCCCTAGGCCAATCAGCTCACACATTCATCTCAAGTGGGCCTGTTGAAGGGGACACACCATCCTCCTTCATGAGTATGTGCATCAGGGCCCACAGAGGGAAGCACTGCCATCTCCTACCCTTGACCTCCATGATGGGAGGGACTCAAACTAGAAAGGACCAGCCAGGGACCTTGGGGACCAGATCCCAAGGTGTTTGTGCCGCCTGATCCCTGTTCCTATGCAGCCTAGGGTGCCAGAAGCCCAAAAGGCAAGCCTGAGGTCGGGTCACTTTCCAGTGGGTCATCCCCCAGTGGCCCAGCCCCACTGGAGAAGCACTGTGATTTTCACTAGTCTCTCTACCTTTCTGGGCCTAGATTTCTCCTCTGCTGGATGAGACCAAGAGAGAGGTTCTCTACCAACTTCCATCCTCAGTCACCTGAAAAGTTCAGGCCTATGCCTGCACAGTTGCCATGTAAGTGAGCACAATGCACCCAGGGCTTGCACTGCAGACCAGGGCCTGGGGGGTGGTCTACACCACAGCCAGGGTGCTGCACCCTAACCTTGCCCCCAACCCTAGGACAGGATCTGCTGGTGCCTTGAGGCAGAGCACATGTACACAACCTCCCCCTGGTAGGTTCAGTGAGAATGGGCAGAAGTGCATTCCAGGCAGGGTACCTGCCTGAGCAAGAGTCCAAGGGATGACCCAACACATGTGTCGGGTTGGTTAGGGTCTCTAAGCAGGCTTGGCCTTAGGAGTGTTCTTTTCCCAAACTTAGGGACTCCCAGGACACCTCCATTGAAGGACTGCAACTACAGAAGGAACCCCACCCCTGTAGGGAAAGAATCCACCCTCCCCAGGAGAAGGGAGTGGGTCCTGGCCAGCAGAAGTGTATCCCTGCCCCCTCCCACTTCGCAGCATCTGTTGAAAGTGGGTAGAGGGTGCAGAGGAGGGTCTTGGGAGCTGTTGGGACAGGGTTGGGTATCTGGAAGCAGGATCCCTAGAGGCCACTTCCCCTACCCTTCTACCCACACCCAGGACTTGGAAGAAATCTCCCACCAAATTGCAGGAAACTCTGGGCTGCTTCTTCCTCCAGCAGCTTCCATAAGTCTAATTGGAAACAGACTGGGAAGTTCTTCAACCCCTTCGGCACACATCACTGCCCTGGACACGCACCTGTCCAACTAGCCTCCTCTGCCCAGGAGGAAGCTCCCTGAGCTAAATGCCCAAGGCACTGCCCAACAGCTGCTCCTCTTCCTAGGGGGCTCTCTGCTGGTTGGTAGCTGAGGGCTGTATTAAAGTCAAATGCAAGCAGATGAGCAGCGGGGAACGGGGAACAACGGCAGGTGATTGAGGAGAAAAGCAGCCGACTTCAGATGCAAATGGACTGGGCAGGCCGTGAGATAACCAGCCAGATACTCTGCCTGACACGCTGGGCCCGCCACCTCCTGAGGGCTAAACCAGGCTCTCTGCTAATACCTGTTGAATAAACTGACCTTTAAGGGGAAAGCAGAGAAACTAAAGGCCACACAGGTAAGTGCAGTGCCCAACGCCCACGGTCGGAGGGTCCGGTCGCAGGCTGGGGAAGGAACCCTAGCGCCCACGCCAGCGTCACTGAGGGTGCCCGCACCAGCTTGCTCGCGCGGCGTGTCAAGCCCGCCGCCTCTGGCTCACGGAACCGCGTAGGTAGGGGCAGGCGAGCTAAAGCGTGCACCCAGGACTTGCACTGCAGACCTCGCTCCGGCCTCGCTCGGCGCCCGCGTTCTGGCGAGTCCACTAAGGAGGGCCCCGCCCGGACAGCTGCGGGAAACCCGGTCGGGTCCGCTACCAACCGGACAGCCTGGGAAAGGACCCTGCACCGAGTGGGCGCGGGATAGAGCTGCGGGATGCTCCAGGGACCTATGGGGAGGGCGCAGGGGGCCGCGGCGCATCCTCCAGAGCCCCAGACCTCCACAGCATGCCTCCACGGACTGAAAAGACACCTGCCCCCGCGCGCCGCGCTCCAGGCGCCCTCGGGGCCCAAGTAGACTAACGCCCACGAGACCGCAGAGAGCATTGTTATTCCGCGTTCCCGGCGGAAGACCTCAGCCGGAGGCAGGCGCCGGTCCGAGGGCTCACAGCTGGGCTGGCCCGCATCCCCGACGTCTCGCTCCGGCCCCTGAGCCCGACGCCTCCTTACCCCCAGCGCATCCAGCCAGGAAGTCGAGCGCCATGGCCGGGTACCGGCGAGGCCGTGCTTTCTCTTCTTCCTCTCCTTCCCGGACCCCTCACCCGGCCGGCCGCCGTCGAGGGTCCCTGCGTGCAGTACTGGGCTCGGCCTGGCCTCCTGCTCGGCGCCGGGCGTCCGAGATCGGGGCGGAGGGGCAGCTCCAAATACGGCTCCCGCGCTGCGCTGCCGCTGGCCCGCTGGCTAGCCCTCACCGCGGTGCACCCGCCTGCCACCGGCGGCCGTTCACCTCGGACCGCGCCCCGCCCTCGGACCGCCCGCTCCGCGGGGCGCACATCGCAGCCAATGGGCGCGTGAGGTGCGGACAACGCCCCGGGCGCCGCGCGCTGCCGCCGATCCCCATTGGCTGGGCGCGGTCGGTGGGCGGGGCGGGGGAACGTGGCGGGCGTGGGGGTGGGACGCCGTAGTGCCGCAGACAAAGAGTGTGCTTCACGCGCCCGCCCGCGCCGCTCGGAGGGAGGAAGCGCGGTGAGTGCCGTGGCGACTGCCGGGGCCGATAACCTTCTGGGAGCCGGCCGCCAGCGGGATGCAAGGACCTCAGCTAGTGTGCCACGCGGGCCAGCTATGCAGGGGACAGGGCCTGGGAAACTTCGACCTGGGTTCGTTTCCGAGTCTGCCGCGGGACCTCAGCGTCCTCGCCTGTTTAATGGGACACTGCCGTGAAAACGGACATGCAACGCCGGGACCTTCCGAGGCCTGCAGGCCCGAGCACGACTAGTCGAGAAACTCCTTGGGCGGCGAAAGGGCGCCCTCGTAGCGCTCTCGCCTGTCCTGCCTGCGCGCCCACCTGGAGGTGGCCTCTGGGGCTTCCGGTCTCCGGAGAACACGCGGGAATGAGAGGGTCTGAGCGCGCCGCGCGCTTCCGGCAGGGCCGGGCGCTGTGCTGGGTGAGAGGAGACCGAACTTCAAAGCAGGCGGGCAGAGGGGCGAGGGGCTCCGCCAAGCCCCGGGGCCCTCACCTTCCGGCGGGCTGAGGGAGGGCTCGCCGGAGCAGCGCCAGGCTGCGAGGGAGGTGCCGGGACCCGCTGAGAACTTCCGGGCCCTGCGGGCCTGGTGGCGGGGACTCCAGCCACAGTGCAGAGGTGCGCAAGTCGGGCCCGGGCGACTCTGGGGAGGGGACCCCGAGCTGGACCCGTGGGCCTCGGAGCAGAGAGCGGGGCTGAGGGCAGGGAGTGTGCGGATGCCCCGGAGTTCGAGCCCGTGGTCGTGGCGGGTAGCTGTGGGGTAGGGTGGTGGGGAGAGCTGAGCGGACGTGGCCCACCCGTCTCCTGACGTTCGCGGTGGGCGGGGCCCCTTGGTCCTTGCAGCGTCCTGTGGGCGACTTCTCCCTGCCCTTCCCCAGGGCCTCAGGGCGGTTTAGACTGTCCTCCTGGATCCGGCCAGGCCTGAGACTTCTTCACTGTGGGGCCGACTTTCCTCCTTTAGGGCCTCCGGCAAGACCCTGTGCCACGTTTCGCCGCCCTTTTCGTCCTGTGTTGCCAGGTTCTGCAGTACAGCCACTGATTGCAGTGAATGCGTGTCCGTGGAGGGACCTTACCTGGGGAGGATGCCAGCGTCTGTCACTGGTGAAACTTGGTGATACAGAAGCCAGGGGATTCCACTGCTCCTGTGTGTTTCAGTTTATCCTTAGGATCTAAATTTAACCATCGTTAAGCAGAGACCCAAACCCCAGGGCTGCTGACTCCTAGTCCAGTGCTCGTGATGGCTGGTGGGCCCTGAACTAGGGGTCTGGAGGCCTAGGTTTGAATATCACCAGCCTTCGACCCAGCCAGGTGGCTCATGGGATGCGTTGGGGAGACTGTGAAAGGTCGGAGCACAACAAGACACTGAGTCAGGAAAAAATATTACATAAAAACTGATAAGACAAGGACAGTCTGTTTTGCTTTATTTTTTAAGAGAACATGTGTGCCTTTAAGTGGGTACTGTGCCTGGGGTGGTAGCACTGAGCTCTGCCTCCCTGGGGGTCTTGGGAAGGGGCCAAGCAGCAGCCTGGTACACAGTAGACAAACCATGGCTGAGCTCAGAAACCCTGCAGGGAGGCCTCATGGGAGCCCCCTGCAAGGATCCAGGTGAGGCCTGCAGGCCTCTAGCTGTGGCCCTGCCAGGACAGCAGGACAGTGGGGGTGGGCTGGTGGTGGGGAACAGCATTCTGCCTAGGGCCAGTCAGCAGGGGAGAGGTGGGGGTGGGAGGCACTTAAGGTTGGACCAGGATCTGACCTGCTTACCTCAGGTGCCCCGGGGCCTCTTGGTGGGCACTGGGTAGGGGACTGGGGGTAGGTACTGAGATGGGCTTTGTGAATCACCTCCCTAAAGAGTCCCTGTTGCCCGAGAATTCTTCATCCTGGCGTGGCTGTGCCTGGTGCTGGGGACACAACAGACAGCAGTCTTCCACCTCCTTGGCCTCCGTGTGGTTGGAGAGAGAGAGAGAGCAAGCAGAAGGCAACACCGAGTAACCGGATGGACATGTGCTGCCGCACAGAGCCTGCCTTTCACTCCCAGGACCAGAGGGAGGCTGGAAGCGGAACTGTTTCAGGGGATGAGTCAGGTCACTGATAAGGGTGGATTTTTATTTGGTAATTTATTTTATCATTTCTTGCACAAGACAGTGGGGAAACAGCCATCAGCAGGCAGAAAGGAAAAGCAAGTCCTCTGCTCTCCGGGCTCTGGAATCTATTGAATTAAATGAGAAGTGGGCTGTCAGTTGGTTCCCATCTCAGTGCCATGAGCCCCTGAGGCCCAGGGTGACCTGGCTACAGCCTCACTGCTTGTCTTTCATCCCCTAATTGCTCCACTCAGGTTTGCACTCCCACCTCAGGGCCTTTGTACTGGCTGCTCCTGTACCCGCTCCTGGGAAGCTCATTCCCCATCCCCCAACCTTGCATAGATCTATCTCCAGAACTTCCTTTGTCCCCTCAGAAGGAGCTTGGCTAACCCTCTGCTGTGATCTTCGTGTTCATGTGTTGAAATCCTACCCTCCAACATGATGGCATTAGGAAGAGAGCCTCTGCAGGCTTGACAGCTGACCCTTCTCCGGGGACATGTGGCTTGTGAGAGAAACACAAGGGATGGTTCCAGTTTTTCTAAGATGTGTTTTAAGAATTAAAAACATCAGGAACAGAGTGCCCCCCTGCTGAACTGCGTTCCACCATGGTGGGGAGGGTACTGAGCAGGACGCCTGGGGGAGGCTTGTCCTGTGGCTTTGACGATGGCGTCTGTCCTCATTTGACTTCTGCTGTGGAATCAGCTACCCCTTGGGCCCTGCAGGGCTGAGTCATGTCTTAGGGAAACAGCTAAGAGGCACAGTCCCAGGCCCCACCCCAAAACTAAGGAGACAGCCCCCACGAGCAGGTAGGATGCATCTGCATTTAAGCCAACATTTTCCCTAAGGGGCTTTAGCACTCAGGTTCAGTGTCTTCAAAGATCTCAGCTCAGACCCTTCCTGCAGGTCTTTGCTTTAGATTGTGTGGGACGGGGTCTGGGAGGATTCTGGTGCCCAGCAGTACCCTGCCCTGGTTCTGTGCTTCCATGGCAAAACGGTTCTGGCTTTGTGGGAAATGAAGATAGGAGTTTATTTGATAAACCAGCTAAATTACTAAGGGTTTTTTTTTTTTTTTTCCCTTAGCTCCAAAGTTGCCACCAGCCTGTGGGATAATAGCATTTCTGTCAGTTTCCCCTTAGGTGAGCTGCAGGCCCCTGGCATGCTCCAGTGCCTCTCAGAACTCCACTTGGCTTTAGGGGGCCAGGAGGCCAGAGCGAGATGACCAGAAACTCCATGTTTTGATTGATGGTGTGGGGACCGGACTCGGGTGCTTTAGCACTGAGCTACATCCCCAGGCCTTTTTATTCTTTGAGACAGGGTCTGTCCACTTTGCTGAGGCTGGCTTCGAACTTGCAGTCCTGCCTCAGCCCCCAGGCTTGTGCCACTCCATCTGGCCAGAAACTCAAGGTGGGAATTGATATGAATAGATGTGCCAAATGCTTCTCAAATAAAAATAGAGCTTTAGGGGTCTGCAGGCCAACCGGTCAGGGTGTGGGCTGGACTGGAGGAGCTCAGCCACTTATTTGTGGACAGGATACTTGCTACCCATCTGGTCCCACCTTCATGCTTTCTGAGGATCCTACAGACAGTGGCAAATGTTGGAAGCTCAGGCTGTCCCAGGCCAACAGGCCTCTGAGGGCAGGGGCCACAGGAGGGCACTGTGCTCCTGCCTGGCCTAGGTTGGTGCTTGGTAGGGCAAGTGGAGTTGGCATCCTGGGAAGGAGGGAGAGGGAGGGGCAGCTGGCAGGGAGACACTGTGTGCCAGGCACAGAGCCCATCAGGGCCAGGCATGGTCACAGCAGGCATGCCCTGCAGCTGGAGACAGGCAGCCCCTGAGACTGGCAGAGAAAAGGCTCTGGAGAAGTGCCCTCAACGTCCTGCAACCTAGCAACTCTGAATGTTCCAGAATCCTGGAGTGGATTTCAGGTTCCAGTCTGTGGCCTGTGCCGCCTTCCCCAGCTGCACCCTGCCAGGCGTTAAGCCACTCAGTGAGACTCTCTAAATAAATACAAATAGGGCTGGGGTGTGGCTCAGTTGTCCGAGTTCAACCCCTGGTACCAAAAAATAAAAGGCCAGACCAGCGACGTCCTCCTCTGTCCTCCTCGGGTGGTGGACAGGGAGGAAGTCTTCTCTCCTGCAGCCAGTCTCCTGTGCCACCCCCTTCCTGCATGGGGCTCTGTCCTGTCCTTGGTCTCCTAAGTGCCTGACCTCTAGCTTCTGTGTCACAGCAGGGGGCACCCACATTGGGCTTGTCCTAGTGCAGGGCACAGGCAGCTCCTCCTCGACCCTTTCCCTGACCCTTTCCCTGCGTCACTGAATGCGGAGTGCCTGCTCACCAGCCGGCTGGGTGGCCCTGGGGTTCCTATCAGGGCTGCTTCCCTACCCACCTGGTTCAGGACATCCTGCCTCCCTGGCATTGGCCCTCCTTCACCTGCCACTGCCCAGCAGCCTCCACCTGCACTACAGGGTGTGTCCACACACTCCACTCCAGTGTCCCAAGCCTTCCCAGTCCCAGCTGGCCTTGGCTCACCAGGCCACTCTGCCAGTCAGGCCACACTGGGGTGCTCTCCTGCTGCCTGCCAGGAAGGCCTGCCCCCCTCAGAAGGGGCTCAGTGGTCTCCTTCCCGAAGCCTCCAGGGCAGCTGCAGACCGACAGGCTTCTGGACCCTCACAGGGACTGCCACAGCCTTTCCTGGCTCTTTATGGCAGCTTGATTCCTGTGTTCCTGCTTCACAAGGTGGAGTCGTCCCCTCCCCCCACTGGGCCTGGTGACACCCTAGTGAACACAGAGGCCGCACAGCGGAGTCCTGAGGGCCAGCTTTGTGCCCCCTGCCTGCTCTAGGGGAAGTCAGGTGCCTGCTGGGAGGCTACTCCAGCCCTGTGCAGGGGGGTTAGGGTGTGGCTTCAGGTCACTGAGTGAGTCACCCTAGTCAAGCCTTCAGTGACTGCAGCCTCACAGAGACCACACAGAGCCACCCAGCTGAGCTTCCTCAGGGACCTGACCCTCAGACATTGTCAGAGAATGAATGTATGATGTTTTCAAGAAAAGCATTTTATTGAGTATATTTAAGGTATATAACATACACATAGATAGTAAAAGCAAATTAACATTTTCATTTTATAGAGCTTTTTGCTTTTGTAGCAAGAGCATTTAAACTTATTTGGCTCAGTCTGGTGGTCACGCCTGTAATCCCAGCTACTTGGAGGTTGAGGCAGGAGGATGGATTGTAAGTTTAAAGGCAGCCTCAGCAACTTAGTGAGGCACTAAGCAACTCATGAGACTGTCTCTAAATAAATACAAAATAGGGCTGGTGATGTGGCTCAGTGGTTGAGTGCCCCTGAGTTCAACCCCTGGTGCCAAAAAAATAAAATGTTCTTACGTGGCATGAATCCCATGCACAGTATGGTTGTTTTGCCTGTGGTCCTCATGTCCTACGCTAGCTCTCTAAACTGGTTCACTCTACATATCTGCCCCTTTGCATAAACTTTTTTTTGGTGATGTATTGAGTTCATCTTGTCCAAGTGAGAACTCCAAGGCCCAGGAGAAGGGCCTTCTCAGCCCAGTCTGCAGTGGGCACAGCATTGAGGATGCCCTGGGGCAGAGCCTGAGGGTCTGGAAGTGTGGCCAGCAGAAGGTGCTGCAATAAGTACCTGAGAAGGGTATCCATGCCTGGAAAACATCAAGAGACAAGACCAGGGCCAGGGAGGGGACCCTAGGAACAAGGCAACAGTGGCTCCAAGATTCATTTCTGTCTCCCAATGAAGTAACCATTGCCAGGAACCTTTGAAGTCATCCATCTGACCCTGCTGCAGAAAGCTGTGGCCATTCATGGTGGCAGATCCCGCGTCAGTACTGCAGCCATATAGCACACCTGCTGGCACAGCTCCGAGGCTGCATGGCCATTACTCTTTGGTTCTCCAACTGTCTGGCGCTACATGATAAAATTTCCATGTTAGCCAGGTGGAGTGACTTGGGAGGCCAAAGCAGGAGATCACAAGTCTGAGGCCAGCCTTAGCAAATTAGCAAGGCCCTAAGCAACTTCGTGAGCCCCCCCCCGCCCCCCCCCCCAAAAAAAAAGCCAGAAGTGGTGACACACCTGTCATCCCAGCAGCTCCAGCTCGGGAGACTGGGGTAGGAGGATTGCGAGTTCAAAGCCAGCCTCAGAAACTTAGTGAGGCCCCAAGCAACTCAATGAGACCCTGTCTCTAAATAAAATACAAAATAGGCTGGGGGTGTGGCTCAATGGTAGCGTGCTCGCCTGGCATGCACAGGGCGCTGGGTTCAATCCTCAGTACCACATGAAAATAAATAAAGATGTTGTGTCCACCGAAAACTGAAAAATAAATATTAATAAATAAAATAAAATACAAAATAGGGCTGGGGATGTGGCTCAGTGGTTGAGTGCCCGAGTTCAATCCCCAGAACCAAAAAATCCCTGGTACAAATAAAAATGCTGAGAATGCTTAGTGGTAAAGTGCCTGAGTATTCAATTCCCAGTACCAAAATTTTTTATCCCATTTTACAGATGAGGAAACTGTCCTAGGATGGTAAAGAGATTCTTCCAGATCATGCAGCTAGGAGCAGCAGGTGAGGGCTAAGCCCAGGCTGCCTGGCGCAGAGCCCCAACCACCCCTATCTGCTTGGCCACCCATATCTCCAGTGCTGTGGATGGTCACAAGAAGGGGGTCCCCCAGTACTCAGCTGGCAGGGCCACTGAGACACGGTGATAGGGAAGGAAGCAAACTGCAAAGCAGTATTTGAAAAAAGAACATGGGCATTTCCCTAGTGCCACTGGAAGGCAGGACACCAGGCCCGGGCTGGGGACTTTCCTTCTTACTTGTAGTTTTTCCTTTTGCTATGAAAAGTAAAAGTGCATTTTTTTTTTTAAAGAGAGAGAGAGAGAGAGAGAGAGAGAATTTTAATATTTATTTTTTAGTTTTCGGCGGACACAACATCTTTCTTTGTATGTGGTGCTGAGGATTGAAGCCGGGCCGCACGCACGCCAGGCAAGCGCGCTACTGCTTGAGCCACATCCCCAGCCCCTAAAAGTGCATTTTTTAATTGTCCAGTTTTCCCATGGCCTCAGCCAGAAACTGCCCTGCTTGGTAGGGCTGTGCCCTCCCTTCAGGGCTGTCACCGCAGCTCCAGGCATGGTTGGGGTGTTGTCACCCCCTAGGAGTCAGCCTGGGCCAGCTATACACAATGGGCTCTGGGACTGATAGAGGAGGCCTCCAGCAGGCCTGGCTCCCCAGAGGGGAGGCTCCTTCAGGCACCCCCTGGGCTCTGCCTCCACCATGTACAATCTGAGGTCCCTTGTCTGTTGGGAAATCAAACCTTGGAGAGGTTGTGCATCTGATCCAAGGTCACACAGCTGGGAGAGGCAAATCCCCAGTCAAATCTAGGCTGAGGGGACCCCCCAACACACAGCTCCTCTGGGGAAGGCCTCTGGCTGCCTCCTCTGACTGCAGTACTGGAGATTGAACCCCAGGGCCTTGTACATGCCACGCCTGTGCTCCACCACTGAGCTGCTTCCCCAGCCCTTGTTATTTGTTTTAAGACAGAGTCTAGCTAAGTTTCTAAGGCTGGTCTCGAAATTGAGATCCTCCTGCCTCAGCATCCTTAGAAGCTGGGATTACAGTCACGGGCCACTACGCACCTGTCCAGCCCTTTTGCTACTTTTTATCGTGGGCTACAACAGTCCATTGCCCACCACCTAGAGCTGGCCTTCATTAAGACTTTGTCCCATTGCTTCTCTTCCCTCTCTCCTCCCCTCCTTTTAACTCCTCTGTTTGTTTACCCGTCCATCGGTCCATCTTCTCCTCTGTTCTTTCACCTGTCTGACCGTCCCTCCACCCATCCGTCTAGCCACCGACCCACTTTCCCCCACATGTACCCCCTCAGCCTCCCAGGTTGCCCTGTGCTGGGTGCTGTGGAGCCATGACCCAGCACTGCCCAGCCTGCCACAGCGCATAGCTGGCAGGAAGTGATGAGCGGCGCACAGCGGTTCAACGAGGAGGTGCCATGGTTTTGGAGCAGGGGTAAAGTTTGTGCATTTGTTCAAGAGGCAATGGGCAGGTGGAACTTGGCCGCAGAGACCAGGAGCCTCCAGTGTCACCCGCTGGGGCTGCCCTGACCTTGCCTGACCCTCCCTGGAACCTGGCAGGCTCTGGATTCTGCTTGTTTATCTGCTGCTCTATCTCCCTTCCCACACAGCAGGCCTGCCAGGGCAGGGCCTGTGTGAGGTACTGCTGTGTCCCAGGGCCCTGAGGGGGTCACAGACACGTGGCACATGGCAGGTAATGCTGGTTTCAGGAGCAGAGGGCGTAGGCAAGTGGGCCAGGGTCCAGAGACACCACTGCAGCCAGGGCAGTGCAGACTGAGGGTGGTAAGTGGATCTGAATGTGAAGTAACTCTAACTGAGGGGCAGAGGAGAAAGGCATCCAGGGCCACTCCAGTGCCAGGGGTGGGTGGCCCTTACTGCACTGGAAATGTGGGACTAGGTCGTCCTTGACCCTTTAAGTATATGACCTGCTTCGAACTCCCTCGTCCACGGCAGTGGCTTCTTGAGTGTAGTATGCACAGTGGAACCTGAGACCCAGCTCTATCTGCCTACCTAGAGCACATCCTTCACCTCCTTCCTTCTAGGCCCTAAGCTGCGTTTAATGCAGCCCTCAGCACTTGGCTGACTGTCCATGGGGACATGTCTGGAATTTGCCCTGAGTGGTCACAGACATGAGGCAGGTGCTGTCTGCATTTTGTGGCTGCAGAAGTGGAGGCAGACAGAGGCTGAGGGACTTATCCCAAGTCTCAAAGCCAAGCCCCAGAGCTGGTATTTGAATGTGGGCAGCTTCCTCTCCCTGTGGACAGGATGGATAACAGGACTGGTCTTGGATGGGCCACTGCTGCCCTCTGCCCTCTGCCGGGGCAGCTAGTACTGCCCACTTGCTCACAAACAGCCGACCAGGGGGTCAGCCATCATCAGCACTCAGCCTGTTCAAGGCCAGCCTGCAGGTCAGCCTGTGAGAGGACAGGAGAGCAGGGGACACGTGGATTCCTGCCCCTGCTGCCCCGCCCTCAGGTCAACCAACCAGAGCCGCTGGGCCCCAGAAGTCAACACCTGTGCCCCGCCCCACCACCAGTTTTCTGGCCTGAGGCCCCTCGGTTGGTTTCCATGTGACCCTGGCCAGTGCACGGCTCCCCTGAGCCTAGTGTCCCCCCTTTCTGGTCACATGGGGCCTGTGCTGAGCCCCTCCAGGGGCCCAGGTGGTGGCCATGAGGCAAGCTTCCCTGTGCTGGCCCTGGTCAGCAGGGCATGTGGTTGTGAGAGCACTGGGAGTCAAGTCCAGCACTGTCTTGCATGGCTTGGGCAAACCCCTTCTGGGCCTCAGTGGCTCCCTCTGTAAAATGGGTGTTGTGGCGCTGCCCTGCCTCCCCCCGGGGCTGGGAGGTAAGCCACACAGGTGCAGGTGTGAGGGTCAGCGCTTTCACAGCTGCTGCGATGAGTGGGAAACCGGGCCAGGTGGGGCAGGCCTGGCCCTGGGTCTGGGGAGACACTGGAGGGAGCAGAAGGCTGAAACCTGTAGGGGTGGGTGGTGCTGTACCCAGGGGGCTCTCTTGGGGTGGCCACCCTATGCCTTTCCTCCCTGCCAATAGGGCTCCTTGAGGACAGGGCCAAGGTCTTTGCCTGTGGCAGCCTCAACTCTCCTGAGTTGCATGTCCCTCTGGGACAGGATGGACAACAGGACTGGTCTTATGCCCTCTGCCATGGCAGCTAGCACTGACCACTTGCCCACAAACAGACGGCTGGCCAAGGGGTCAGCCGGAGGGTGGTGTCAGAAACTCTTTGTTGAATGAATAGGTGAGGGAGTTTGTGGGTTCCATGGCAGGAGTCTGAAGCAAACCCAGGGGAGTTAGGGAGGCCCAGAGGACACAGCAATGACCCGAGTTTGGGCTTGGAGTGGCCAGAGCCACCATGTCCCCATCTCCAGGCCTCTAGGAAGACTCTGGATGTAACCCAGGGGGCGGTGGGGACAGTGGTCCTGTCTCTGGAGGCGTGACTCCTCCGGTGACCTCTCACACACTTTCTGACACCTAGGTCCCAAGGGCACTGGGACTAGGGTCCTTGGGGGTGGGGCAGGAGGGAGTCCATCCGCCGGGTGCGTGGGTGTGGGCATCGACCGCTGCTTCCTAGCAAGCTTCTGCTTCCTGTCCTCTGCCCCCACCACAGGTATTTAACGCCTGCCAGAAGCATGCTGGGAGCTGCTGAGGCCACCGCGGTGGTGGCACAGATCAGGCAGTTGGGCCAGGGCCTTCCCCACCTCCCAGGTTGTCCATGGATTTTGTTGCTGGAGCCATTGGAGGTACCATACAGGGACGCTGGGCATTCTGGGGGCTGCTGTTTCTGGGTGCTGGGGAAGCTGGGCCCAGACGGGCGGGCTGTGGGGAGGACTTGTCGGGGTGTCTGCACTGATTGGGAGAGGGGACTCAGGATGCTGAGGGCAGGCTGGGGACCGTGGGAGGGACAGAGGGTGGCGACAGAGGGAGCTGGGAGTCCTTGTATGAGGCATGATGAGCCTGGGAAGAGGCATGAGGCTGTGGATGGAGGTCTGGGCCAGAGCCTGAGGGCGCCGCAGGGTGGCCGCGAGGGCGGCCGCGAGGGCCTCCCTGGCCTGCTCTGCTCTGCTCTCCGCGGGGTCCTGCTCCTTTCCCTCCTGGGGAGGGGGTGCTTGCGAAAGACTCCCCAGGCCCTGGGCCTGCAGGGCTGTTTGCAGTGAGGTGGCCTTGGTCTTGCTTGTCTTGTGAAATAGCTTGGCAACCCTCTGCTTCTGGGGACAGTGTGTGGAGGGGTCAGGGTCCTGGTCCCTTCAGGAGCTTTTCTGAGGTCCTACTGTGCCAGCCCAAGGCTGGTCATCTCCTTGAGTATCAGTACTGGGAGGAGGATTAGAGCAGGGCCTCACAGGGGCCACACGGCCAGGGAGGGCTCCTGGGCTGACATCCTCCCTCCAGAGCCTGCCAGGAAGCCTGCAGGAAGGGCCTGTTCCCTGCTGAGCCCCAGGTCACAGGGATATGGACTGGCCTTGTCCTGGGAGGACTTTAGTTCTGGGGAGGAACTGGCCCATGGGACACAAGCAGCAAGTCATTAGGGCTCAGATCAACATGTCCTAGGCTCAGAGGCAGCCCCGGGGATGGCGGTCAGGGAAGCTCCGGAAGGGAGATGGCGCCATGGCAGGGCTTTGATGGATGAGCAAGAGCTTGGTGAAGTGTCTGTGCAGATCCAGGAGGGTAATGAGCTGCTGAGTCGGCCGGCCCTTCCCTTGACCTCACTCCCTGATCCCGCCAACTCCTGAGTGCGGGACACACAGGAGGTACAGCACAGCCACTGTGTGCCTTTTCACCACCACTCTCAGAGTGAGCTCCCCAGGGTCTGGCTTCCCTGTGGCAGTGCTAGGGCTCTAGGTCTAGGCCCGGTCTCAGGAGGGGATGACAGCACCGGGCCTGTGGCTGGTCCAAAGCCTGGGCCTCGCGCCTGAGGCTTCCCTGCGTGGTATGGGTTTGTGTCGGTTGCCCTTCCTCACTGTGACAAAGCACTTCAGTTAAGGAGCACATGAGGAGAAAAGGCTTATGTTGGAGGTTCCGTCCACGATCGGATGGATCCAGGGTTTTCTGGTGGAGGTGGAGGTGGCGATGAAGGGTTTTACGTGTGCAGCAGACGGCTCACCCTGTGGCCAGGAAGCAAAAGTGACCAGGGAGAGACTGGGGCAAGCACCAGGCCCCACCTCCCAGGGCCACAGGTGCTCGCTGCAGGGCCCAACCGGGGCCAGGCCTAACCAGAGCAGGCCCCTCTGCCCAGACCCTTCATAGTCCAGGCAGCCCCAGCCCTCTTGCAAGCCTCATGTGAGCCTGGGCACCTCTCAGCCTTGGCTCAGGCCAGGGGCCCTCCTCGGCCCCCAGGAAAGCCCTCCTTAGACTGATGGCCAAGGGCAAGTTTGCCTGGCTCATAGCTGAAGTCCCCCCAGGGCAGGGCAACAGGAGGAGTCACCACCAGACAGAGACTCAGGGACGTCACAGGCAAGCCTGGAGGAAGGTGCTCTGAGCCTCAGCTTCCTCATCTGTAAGACAAGGGGTGCTCTCGGATCAGTGAGGCCTCGAGTCAGGAAGGCAGCTGTGGGGTCTGTTCCCAGCTGGCTCAGCCCCATTCCTGTGAGATAGGCCCATGTGGCTTCCTGGTTGTCCCCCAGCCTCACTGTCCTCTGACTTCCTTGCAGGTGTCTGTGGTGTTGCTGTGGGCTACCCCCTGGACACAGTGAAGGTTCGGCAATGGCAGGGCCCCGCCTCGCCCCGAGGCCCTATTTGGACCACCCTCAATGTCTCCTACACCACATCCATGGCCAGAACACCTTTCTAGAATGGTCTATGTCAGCTTTCTCACCTCTGTGTCTCAGGGCTTACCATACTTCTCTGCCCACACCCCAGCATGCCTGTGACAATCAAGGGGGTGACTCTGCCCCTTCCCCAGGTCCTGCTGACCTTGCCCTAGACCTGGAACCACCCCTTCCTGAAGCCCACATCTCCCCCAGGTCAGGATCCAGACAGAGCCAAAGTACACAGGCATCTGGCACTGCATCCGGGACATATATCGCCAAGAGCGGGTAGGTCTGGGGCCAGGGATGGGCGGGGGCTATATAGGTCTCAGGCCTCAGGCCTGGGAATGCTCATTCCCACTGTGGACCTATGCTACCCTCTCACTTCAAATGGGAACAATTGTGCTGATCTCATGATTTCTTTGAGGGCTAGAGCCCGGGTATCTGGCACACAGAGGGGCTCAGAACAGGGTTCTTACCTCCAGGAAAGGGTCGAGGTGGCACTGGGGTTCCGAAGGTCAGGGGAGGCATCTGAGTGTTGCACGTCTTTCTCTTCCAAGGCAAGTGCCCCTTGAGGAAGTGATGGACAGTGTGGGCTGGTTACTTCAGGGCTCAGGACCTTGTCCAGAGGAAGGCCTGGGGGCACTTACCAAAACGAACTTGGGGCTTGGTGCAACCAGGGTTAACTCATGAAGAAACAGCAGTGACAGAATGGCTTCTTATGTCCTCACCATCAACTGGCGACCCTGGGTCCAGCCCTGGCCTCTCTTTAATCCCTCACCACAGCCTCTCAAATTGAGCACTCGAGACCCTCATTTTAAGGTGGAGGAAACTGAGGCCTGAGGCGGGGGGAGTGACTAAGGGCTGGAGGGCAGGGACCAGCCTCAGCACGCCTCTGGGCAGCCCCTCCCCTGGACTGACTCGGGCCCTGTCCACCAGGTGCGGGGCTTCTACCGGGGCCTCTCGCTGCCTGTGTGCACGGTGTCCCTGGTCTCCTCTGTGTCTTTTGGCACCTACCACCACTGCCTGGCGCACATCTGCAAGTTCCGCTACGGCAGCGCGGAAGCCAAGCCTACCAAGGCGGACGTCACGCTCTCGGGATGCGCCTCGGGCCTCGTCCGTGTGAGTGGGGTGCAGGGAGGCCCTTGGGGAGGCTGAGGATCCGAGTGGTCCATTTCTCTAGGTGGGCAGAGCCAGGCTGGGTGAGGGCAGACCCCATGAAGTGAGGACCGGGTGGAGAGCCAGTGTGCTGCCTCAGGAAGCACCAGCAGGGGTGTGGGAGGGCTGCGGGTGCCTCCCACCTGCCTCCTTCCTGCCCCAGGTGTTCCTGACATCGCCCACTGAGGTGGCCAAGGTCCGCCTGCAGACGCAGACGCAGGAGCAGCAGCGGCGGCCCTCAGCCTCGGGGCCCTCAGCCTCTTCTCCTGTGTGCCCAGTGCCTGGACCCAAGTACCGAGGGCCACTGCACTGTCTGACCACGGTGGCCCGTGAGGAGGGGCTTCAGGGCCTCTACAAGGGCAGCTCGGCGCTGCTTCTCCGGGAAGGCCACTCCTTCGCCACCTACTTCCTCTCCTATGCCGTCCTCTGTGAGTGGCTCACCCCTGCGGGCCACAGCCAGCCAGGTGAGCAGTAGAGGGGCCTGTGTGCAGGGGGTTCAGCCCCGCAGAAATGGAGGCCATGAGAGGAGGCCATGGGAGGAGGCTGTGGCCTGTGCAGACTGAGCACTGGTACCAGAATGGGAACTTGAACCCAGGCGCTGGGCTTCCCAGCATGGGAGGACAGACCTGCTCTGTCACCAAGTCACTGTGTGACCTTGGGCAAGTCAAATTCCCTGTCTGAAGCATCAGTTTCTCCCTTGCGAAATGAGGACAGGGCTATAGGAGTCGGCGGGCTCCACTGGGGTGGGGCCCCAATCAGGCCACATGTCATTTCTCCTGCAGATGTCCTGGGTGTGCTGGTGGCTGGAGGCTGTGCAGGAGTCCTGGCCTGGGCTGTGGCCACCCCCATGGACGTGATCAAGTCACGCCTGCAGGCAGATGGGCAGGGCCACCGGCGATACCGGGGTCTCCTGCACTGTGTGGTGACCAGTGTGCGGGAGGAGGGGCTGAGGGTGCTCTTCAGGGGCCTGGCCGTCAACTGCTGCCGGGCCTTCCCGGTCAACATGGCGGTCTTTGTCACCTATGAGGCCGTGCTGAGGCTCACCAGAGGCCTGCTCACATAGCCGCCCAGCAGCTGCCAGACGCTGTGATAGCTGGAGGAGGCAAAGGGAGTAGTAGGGGGTGGGACCCCATGAGGCTGTCACCCAGGACAGCTGGGGGCCAATCTGCAGTAATTGGGCCAAGGCCTGAGCTTGGCTGCCTGCTGCCCAGCACAAGATCGGGTCGAGGGGCTGGTGAGCCCGAGAAGAGCAGCCCCTTGGGCGAGGGCCTGGGTCACATGGGTCATCTGCCTTTTGGTCAGTGGTTCTCCTTCTCCTGTTGCCTCTGCCACCACTCAGCTCCTCAGAACAGCCCCGCATGGCCACCCTCTGCCCTCTCCCACCAGCTCCCCTGGTCCCCACGGCTGTCCCCTCTGAGGCAGCTTCACTGGCACCCCTGCCACAGGCAGTGAGGCCCGGCTGTCTGATCTCAAGCCTGGCTCCTTCCCTGCCCCAGGCTGCCCAGGCGGGCATGGCCAGGACAATGCACCCACCTGGGGTTTGACTGGCCGGGGCGTAAGGCTGCCATCCTTGCCCAGCTGGGGAGCTGGGCGTGGGGTGTAGTCATCACCTCTGCCATGGACACTGTGCACCACGGGAGGACCCAAAGACTCACCCGGAGCTGCTGTCAATAAAGCATTCCTGAGCTGCCTGTCGTGTTGCTCTGTGGTCTGTGGCCTGCTCCCTGCTTCTGCTCAGCCTTCACCCTGGTGCTCTGGGAGGGCTGCCCACCCATTGTGTCCCACTGTGCAGATGGCACACGGAGCCCTAGTCCCACGGTCAGGCCAGATCCACTCCCATGACTTTTTGGGTGGTGGGGACCCTGCCCACCCCACCCCAAACTCAACTGCTGAGTGGAAGGGGGACAGTTTCTCACGGCTGCCTGGCTGTGAGCCACCTCGGAGGGGGCTGGCTGTAGGAGGGGCAGGGCACTGGTAATCCCAGCGGCCTCCCCTGGTCAGCAGATAGCTCAGGGGTGTGTGTGGGGGATCTAGGCACTCAGTGGGGAAGCAGGGACAGGTAGGCCACCTTCTGAGGCCCAGCCCACCCTCTCCCTGCACCATGTGGCTTCCAAAGAGCCCTGGGACCAGGAGGGCTGGCAGGTCAAATGTGAAGCTGTTTCTGGAGTCTCAGCCAGAGGCTTCATTCAGGGGGGCTCACTCACCCCAGAAACACCCAGAACAAGCAGTGGTGGGAGGCACGAGGTGAGCTTTGTCAGAGCAGCTCCTCGGGGATGACCAGGCACCCAGGCCTGCAGCCCTGTCTTCTAGGCGCTGACGATGACTCTGAGGTTTTATAGAAAGGGGACTTAGGGCAAGGGTGGGTCTGCACAGCTGGTCCTGATGGGCTGTGGTCTGCCCATGGTTATCTCAGGATTGGTCAGTGGCACCTTGGCCATTACCCCGGACAAAAGTTGGTGTTTCCTGGGTGTGGGGGAGGGGCCTCCGCCCATCCCAGGACTGATGAGACCTTCTTCCTGGAATAGAAGGTGACTGACTCAGAGCAAAGGAGACAGATGCAAAATGGAAGCTTAAGGATACTTTTAGCAGGCCCACGTGAAGAGCCCAAGTCCTGTTGCAGGCCCTTGGGCCAGTGCCACAGCTGCCCTCTGGAGATTGGCTGACACCGGCTTTGATTGGGTCTTTGGACTGAAAGTCCACAGGGTTATGGCTAAAGGAGGCTTTCTCACTCCCAGAACAAGGGTGGACCCCTTTTTGGCCTGCTCCTGTCAGGAGGGCAGTTGTTTTGGTTGGCCAGGGGGCGCTGCCCTTACACACCGTGTCCTTGACAGGAAGGCCCTCCTGCTCCTCGGCCTCCTCCAGGAAGCTCTCCCTGCCTCACCACCAGCAGGCTTTGGTGTTTTGGGTGTCTCTTGCTCTGCTCCCTTGGGGGTTTGGTGGTCTTGTTTTTCTTCCCTTCTACCTGCCAACCTGTGAGCTGCCTGAAAACTGTTTAGATTCAGGGCCTGGTGCACAGGTGCTCAGGGGTGTGAAACGGATGAAGCCCTGCCAGACTTCTACAGCATGAAGACAGATCAGGACGACAGCCACACTAAGAACTTACAAGAGGGTAGGAGACCACGAGCGAGACAGGACTTGAGGGTCTCAGCTATGGCACCTCCATCCTCTGAAGGCCTGCTGGCACTTACACTGTGCCCAGAGACTCGGATGCTTCAAGAGGTCTCTGTGTAGAGGACATTTTTACTAAGGATAGACATCCTTCATCTTCCATCAGTAGCCTTTGGGAACTGGTGTTTTCCTCCAGCTTCATTAGGGTTTCCTCTTTACTGTTTTCTAGTGCCCAAATTCAGGGCCCAGGGCCTTGTTTGGTGGTCATGCTAGACAAGTGGCCGGGGGCAGGGAGGAGGATCCAGCTGGCCCAGCCCAGGCCCCATGGCTGTCTCTGGGAAGTGGCTTTGCAGGAAGGAGCCGGAACTCACTTTCTCACAACTCCAGTGAAGAGGACCAGCTCCCTCCTTTTTTTTTTGGTACTAGGGATTGAACCCAGGGTGCTCAAACATGGAGCTGCATCCCCAGCCCTTTTTGTACTTTGAGACTGGGTCTTGCTAAGTTGCTTAGGGCCTTGCTAAATTGCTGAGGCTGGCTGTGAACTCATGATCCTCCCAATCCAACCTCCCGAGCTGTTGGGATTGCAGATGTGCACTGCTGCGCCTGGCTGGCTCCCTCTTTTGTGAGAAAATGAAGGATCTGGGAGCAAGGGCTGGTGCCATGCAATAGGGCAAGAGCTGGTTTTCCAAAGTGGGGCTGCCTAACAAAGTCCAAGCTGAACTTGAAACTTCACATGGGGTGGGGGTGAAGGCTGCCCCCCCCAGGGCTCCCACAGTGCAAGCCCACTGCAGCATCTACCACTGTGGGCCTAGAGGAAGGATACCCCCCCACCCCCGCCCGGGGCTCCCACAGTGTAGTCCAAGGACAGCTTCATCTGAGGTTGTGGGCAAGGGCCAGAGGCCAGAGGCAGGCCTACTTCCAGCTCTGAAGAGCTTGCCTGGATGGAGAACTGTTCCACAGTAGCCCCCATTGGTTCTTGTAAGCAAGTCCAGCACCCACGTCTGGGTGACAAGTGGCCATCATCTGTCTGAGCAAAGGCTTGGCAATGACCTCAGGCTGGAGCCCAGCACTCAGCCTGGGTATCCGCTACCAGACATGCCCGCTTTTCTTGGAGAGCTTCAAGAAACGACTGGTTTTCAGCATGTGGGTGTGGCAGACCTGCAGCTCTCTTCTGCTGTGAGTGGGTGTGTCCTCTTGCAAGTCACCTGGTCAACAGACACAAGGCCCTGCTCCGAGGGCTTCATCACCAGGTGAAGTGACCCACCCAGTCACAGAGCAACCAGGGGCCACTCTCCCTGGGCCCTGTCCATAGATGCTATCTCCAGGTAGACAAGGACAGCTGCGGCTCCACTGCCCTGTGGACTCCACACATTGTCCCTCACCGGCACAATTACTCCTGCCACAGATGTAGCACAGCTACGAGGAATGGCATTAGCTGTTCCAGCCATGTGGTCAGTGCACCCTGCATTCTGTGTAGGTGGCTCACATTCATGGCCACAGCCAACCAGGACAGTGGTCAGGTCAGGGAGGGAGCTCCACCCAGGGAGAATGGAGGCCAGAAGGGGGAGGCTGTGGAGAGCTTGTGCTGTCCTAAGGCTCCCAGCCTCCCAGGGTGGGAACCTATTTCCTCAGCACTGAGTCAGGACATTTTCTGTCACCAAGTCACCGTGTGGCCCTGGATGTTGTGCATCCCCTTGTCTGAAGCCTCAGTTTCTCCACTTGCAAAATAAGTTTAGGCCAGTGGAGTGAGCCCAGGGCTCCAGGGAGCCATGTCTCCGCTGTCACCGTGTGGCCCTCTGTGCATGCCAGGAGGACATCTGCTGGGATTCTCCACGGTCACTGGGAATATCAAATGCAGTAGGCCAGCAGCAACAGGAGGCTGTTCAGGGCAGACAGAAGGGCCACTTCCAACAGGAGCAAAAGCCATGTGACATGGCTCCCAGGAGCCTGCCTCTCAGCACCTGCCTTTTCTTCCCAGAGGTGACCCACAGAACCAAGGCCAGCCCTGCAGGCCAGTGGATAGCTCCAGTCTCAGCAGCAGGGCCCCACCCTGGGCCTGCAGCAGGCTGCTGTACCCTCATCAGTCTTCCTGGACAGAACAGAACACAGGGACACAAACAGGAGCAAAGGAGGTTTATTTTACCCATAGGTGGCACAAGGGCAGAGCACTCAAGAGTGGACCCTGCTCCTTTAGAGAGGACAGATCCTTCAACCAGGGGCTTCCCTGAGACATGGGTTCTGCTTGGTCAGACTGCACATGGTAGGAGACTGAACGTGGCCCACCTAAATGTCAAACACCTAGGGCCTGGAGGGCCATGGTGGCGATTTTCTTTCTAGCTACATCCATAGGCCGAGACCTGGCCAGGGCACTGCTCTGTGCTGACTTCCACTTCAGTCAAGTGTCAAAACAAAAGGATCTGCAAAGGCAACAGACTGTCCTTAGCATCTCACAGTCAGGATGAAGCGCCACTGGATTCTGCAGGATGGAGTGCGGGTTATTTGGTGGAAAATTACTATGTTGAGGGCAATGAGCGTGATTCCTGGAGTGGACGACGTGCATGGTCTGGAGTTTAGTAAGCCAGCTGGGGTTGCACCCACCACCTCGGCATGCTGTCCACAGCCAATGCCAAGCTTTAGAGCAAGTGATTTCTTTCTTTTTTGTGGTACTGGGGATGGAACCCAGGGCCTCGTGTGTGTTAAGCAAAGTGGTCCGCCACTGAGCTCCACCTCCAGCCCTTTTTATTTTTATAATAATGACATTTTGGTTCCATATATGCATACAGAAAGCACAGCTTTTTAAAATCAAGAGATCTGGGGAGTATATGTGGATCCTAGGCTGCTCTCAGATGGACTTCCTCCGTGGGCCTGGACTGGCTGGTCAGGCCTTCCAGCCAGAAGTTCCACAGACTGAGGTTCATGTGGGAGAGACTCACAGCTGGGTGTCTACCTGACCACGCAGAGTTAGCAGCACCCAATCACTCGCATTTTGCCCACAAGAAACAGAAAGGACAAGCTCCACAGGGAGAGACAGCACCTAAAACACACAGGGCTTACGACACCAGGCCCAGGAATTACCACGTGACAGAAGCCTACAGGTGGTGGTGATTGGATCAGAGTGGGATTACTGATCACACATCTCTATATGCACACAGAAAACGAGTGTTACTGAAAGTGGAAGGTCAGCTGCCGAGGAGTCATGAACTCTTTCACCATCTCGTCGGTGACCTCCTTGCGCCGGGCCTGGTGCTCCGCGATCAGGGGCTGCAGGACGTCTATGAGAGTCTTCTTAAGCTCCCCGGTGAGCATGGCCCCGCTGGAGTAATCCTGGTGGCAGGCAGAGCCCAGCACAGGAAGAGGGAGGGAGGGAGGGAGGGAGGGAGAGGGAGGAAAAAAAAGAAAAGAAAAGGAAAGAAGGGAGGGAGGTTGGTCACTTGCAGCCCTCCACCCAGAATGCCCACTGTTAGCACCAGACCCCGTGTTTCCATAGCTTTTCTTTCACTAAAACTTTTTAATTAGTCCACACCTGCACAACAATACATCTGAACAATTCTTATTTAACATTTCCTGTGTCAGACAGACTGTA